CAACAATGAGAATAGTTGAAATATTTATACTTTATAAATTGAATATTCACAGCGAGTAGTCTTTCAGTCACTCATAGCAAGTATCTCAAAACTTGTAACAAAATAAGAAAAAAGTACGTCTCAAAAAGTATAGATTCTTTCTTCCTTTCAAGTTCCAAAACAATGGAAACATTTATACTGACTCAGTATTGTGTATTAATCATCCATGTACCTTCGACATCTGAAAACTCGAAGATAGCTATTATCTAGGTAAAATAAAAAGAGAGATGTCTTTTGAGCAAGAGATTCAACGCGCCTCCTCGTCAAGGAGAACAACCGAAATATTTATGCCGGTCTAGTTAAATGAAACTTCGTGTACGAAACACGAAGGTAGGGCATTATAAATCAAGGCAGATAGTCATCGGTCAGATGAGAAGACACAGATCGAGCCTGGAGCAATGAAACGCGCATACAACATACAACACTATACAGTATTCTTGTATTTCAGGGGATTTCAGCCAGCCAACGACAGACACGGGGGCAATAAAAAAAGCAGTCGCCGTTTAATTACCATCGAATTTCCATCGTTTTCGTTATAAAATACTCGCGTAAGACGCGAACGATTCGCGCGTGGTACTTTATCGACTGATGGCAGGCGTTTACGCCTAATCGTAAATTAGCCGCGCGACGATTTACACGAAGCAAGCGTGATTTCGTTTAATTGGATTCGACACTGGATGCGCGAGGCTCGATCGCTTGGAATTTCAACGCTCGCGTCGCACGCGTAATTATTAATAATTCTCCTGTCTGATCGGCGAGTGAGAACTTGTGAGAACACTTCCCTGGAAGCTGTTAATCGCTTGGCGGATAAATGACACGATACGCGGATAAATTGCGGCAAGCAAGCCTTTTCAGAATCTTTTCAGTCTCGCGAGATTTGTTCGTGCACCCATAGACAGATACAGAGATATACAGAGTGTTTAGTTTATTTCGGAATATTGCTGGATATTTAATTAAAAAGCTAAAAGTTAGAACAAAATATTGGATATTAACGATGTATAGTTAGTCACAAAAAAAATATATATATATATATCGATGAATTTCAAGTATATTCAAAAAAGAACAAGATTTTAAACATTTTATAGTTATGGAAAACAAATATAAATCGGAACAGAAAATTGCGAAATTTACTATACAATTGCCGTAGATATATTACAGTATATCTACGAATTGTTAATTATTATTAATCATAATAATAATCGCTTTACTCGTTTTGTTGTACATATGATAATTGTGAGCGATATGAATTTCGTAAAATCATGTTTCCGATTTATTCACGTGAATGTGCATGAAACATCGTCAATATTTAAATAAGTCTAACTTTGATGAACAAATTAATCCATAAAACACTTCTTTCTCTTTTCAAATATTTGAAATTTACCAGGTATATAATATAAATTTGTATATGTGTATTCTAATGTGTATGCATGATGATTAATTATCTTCAAAATTACTGAATTTTTTTTTTTTTTTTTTAAACAAGGCTGTA